CATGTTGGTTTTTATTTTTTTTATTTCAATTTCTTGTTTTGACATATGCTGGCATTACATATGCTAGGTTTTTACTATTTTAATTACTTGTTTTGGCCTAAACTGGCAGCTTTCATGCTGGTCTTCATTTCTTATTTAAATTTCTTGTTTGGCCTTAAGCTGACTCTCTTGGCTTCCTGAGATTCAATACCCCAGGAGTGATGTGACAGTCTGAAATGGCATTTCTCAAAGTAAGTGGTGTTTAAAAAACAATAATAATAAAAAAGGACAAAAATATTAAACAAAAGACCCCTCACTGGGCTTGATAAAATAATGGACCCAATTTAGTATACAAATAGAGACTCTAAGGTGTCAAAATCGTAACTAATGCAATGCATCCAAGTCTCATGCTTAAGGAATTGTAACTATAATGTATGCATGTCACATGCTTAAGGATAATTAAGCTCCTGAAGAGCTATATCTGTTTTTAACTTCTCAGGTTCTACAAAGAAATTGTAAAGCTGTATAGTTCTCATACCTTCCTACGGACTTACTTCAAATGGTACAATTTAAAAACCTGCCATGGGATCCTAAATCCCCTTGAGCTAGATGGTTAAAGTAACATCGTATGTGTTAAAGTGATCATATACATCAAGTTTTAAATTGATCATATAGATGGGACTAAGTGTTAAAGTGATCATATAAATAAGATTAAGTATTTAGTAATAATAAAAAGAATTAAAGAGGCATGACTGCTCCAAGATGGGAAGCAGTCCATACAGCACACTCATAGAACGACAATCACTTTAAGTAATGCTCTGTGAAATCAGAGTCAGCCCTAAAGGTATTCTGGTCCAGCTAAAGAGCCCACGAGAGCATTTCAGGCATGGAAAGCCAGGACACTGGTGCTAAAAGTGTCCCAGCATGGAGATCTTTCCTGGGTAAGACCTCAGTAGAAAGGAGTGGCCATCAAAAGAGGATGCACTATTTTCCAAAGGGAGGAAAGAACTTCTACTTTGTTCATGGCCTTGTCTAAATACTTACAGAGTTTGTAGATTCAGAAGGCTTCCATAGCCTAGGCTGCTCATGTCAAGAGCCTCCAGTGATCACTGATGTCATACGTAAGAGTGTTAATTGCTAAACTAACAACAGGAGTCATTGTGTACAAACTTCCCATGCAGGACCTCTGTCCTCAAAGAGTTACAGTATTGGAATTGATGGTAAAACTTGTTCCCAAAGATTTACTTTGTTCTAGTGTGTTATATTATATGTCATAAGTTATAGGTATGTCTAAGTGTCCAACTCCATTGCCTGTATTTGCTTCTTTTTTTAAATGGGGTAAATCTTTATTTTTTTCAACTTTATTTAATAAATATAAATTTCCAAAGTACAACTTTTGAACTATAGTGGCTTTTCCCCCCATAACCTCCCTCCCACCAGCAACAATCCCATCTCCAACTCACTCTCCCATCCCATTCTTCATCAAGATTCATTTTCAATTATCTTTTTATACAGAAGATCAACTTAATATATACTAAGTAAAGATATCAACAGACCGTACCCACACAGACACACAAAGTATAGAGTCCTGTTTGAGTAGTAGTTTTACCGTTACTTCGCATAGTACAACACATTAAGGACAGATTCTTTAAAGTTAATTGTCTCAAACATGGACTTTTGGGTCCATTTCTCTCTAATATTCCTATCTCGAATGTTTTAACATAACGTCAAATGAAAAGAAAAGAATGGTTAAAGGCTTCAGGGCTACTAATGAGACAGCTGTTTCAATGCATTTTAGTATTCAATGCAATCTAGTGTTGTGTACTAAACCTTTGCCTAAGGGATAATTTCTTTTGCATGCCGCTAAACCCAGAATCTGGGAAAGTGAGGATACAGAATTTCCGAAACAAAAGCACAGAATCTAAACAAGAGGTAGATTACCTGGGATATGTTCTATCCCCAGGAAACATGATCCTTCAGTCAAGATAAAGGAAGCTATTAGATGTATAGGGTCACCACAGACTCAGAGGCAGCTAAGGACATTTCTGGGAATTACAAGATTCTATGGAATATGGATTCCATGATTTGGATTCCAAGCTTTTATAAAAGCTTTAAAAGGCCCTGACACAGACACACTGTGCTGGAAAGGGAGCTACAAGAGGTGTTCCAAGGAATTAAAGCACTTTTAACAGAAGCTCCAATTCCTGAGCAAGCCAATCATACAAAGCAGCTTAAATGGAAGGGACCTTACCAGATGCCACTGAAGACCACCTCAGTAAAATCAGGACTAAACTTCTACCTCTTAAATCTTCACAGGTAAACTCAAAAGACACACCTGAACTATTCCTGTAGACAGTCAAAGATCTTAAGTACCTCTTCAAAAGCAAAAGATAAGTCAAGCTTTTGCTTTTGTCATATCAAGACTGCTGCACCTTAAGGCAGACATCCTGTACCTGCCTCTTTTAATTCTCTCCAGGAGCTGTTATTGACAATAAAACTCCTAATGGGTTATTCTATTATAAATCTCTATGCTCAGGCTAAATGGTTTTATAATCTACATAAGGGTAGCCTATCACTACCCACTACCTGGGAGATAGTGAAATATGTTCTTTCCATCTTAAGGGGCACACTACTTGCAATTGGTTTTGTTCCAGTTCTGCTTATGCTGACTGACAACCATATATGTTTCAGAACTCAATGACTTCTTAGTGTAAAAATGACAATGCAGGGGACACAGCCATTGGTGGTGACTGAAAGTGCTCCAGCTCACAAAAGAAATTTGTTAGATGAGACAGGCAGAGACTTCCAGACCCAGGACAGACAGGGCCCACTCCCCTAATAAGCAGGAAGCAGCTATAGAAGGTATGATTCTACGCCCTTCAATATCCTTTAAGATTAAGGTCTGGAATCTCTCTGAGGGGAAAATAATATAGGCAGGAAGACAGGATAAAATCAATTGGATTTGTGAGCTTAAGACCAAACCCCCTGTGTGATTTCATCCCCCTACCTATGTCACCTGGATGCCCACATGCCAATCAAACTATATAACCACTCCCCTTTGGGAGTAAATAAAAGGCCTGGAACACAAAAGCCATTCCCTTGTTGAACACCCTTGTTGCAGCCTTGTTGCCCCGTGACTTCAGGGCACGAGGCCTTATGGCCTCCGTCCTGCCTTTGCTTTCCTGACCACATGCTTGCTACATGGGCTCCAGGCCTGCTCTCTGCCTGGAATGGACCCAACCTAGCTTGTAGACTTCTTTATCCCCTATTTAAAGCCTTTACTTTCCTATGCATTTCTTTCACTGAATATGAATATTGTAATAAAATTTCTATTGGACATGTTTCAAATTTCACAAATTCAACACTGACAGTATCAGCAATACACCATAAGTGAATAAAAATGTCTTTAAGGAGAATAAAAAACAACAACAGCAGTAATAACATCAGTAGTAGCATGCATGTAATGGATGCTTCTGTGTCATGTGTTATACATTATATGATTTGATCTTCACAATATCCAGTATTATACTGTTCCCATTTCAGAGATAATACAAGTTAGAAATTTTATCCAAAAATGAAGATGCTATAAAGTGGTAAATTTCAGTTGATAAAATTTCAAATATCAGTGATGTTTAGAAATAAGGTATATACCATATAATGTCTTCCTAAGTATAGTTGACTACATGAGATTAAGAAAAATTCAGCATAGAAGATAAGTTTAAGCCCTCAGAGAAAATAGAATAAAGATCAAGGTCACTGGTACAAATATTTGTATAATCATTTAACATAAAAATGCCAATTTATTGAACATCTATTGTGCAACATGTTCATTATTATACACTCTTCATAAATTAGGTCGCTTAGTTTTACATCTTTCCTAGGAGTCTCGGCCAGTCAGGATTCAAGCTGGAGGAATTGATCTCTCCCAGAGCCCACATGCTCACCAGGTGTGCTACAACCAGGGCATTTACACACCTCCAGCCTTTCCAGTTTTCATTCACTAGGTGTTGATCACTAGGAAACTTTGGGAATAACCTTTCCCTCCATCATCCATAAAATATTTAAAAAGTTATTACACACTATAGAAGAATATACATTTTAAGAATTCTAGTCCTCTAACTAAAATCTCAGTATTGTTCTGGTGTCTCAGAGACCCTGACTGAGTCTCCAATCTATGGTCTTTGTGAGGTAGAATAACTTGTATGCTTGAAAAGAGCAATTTTTGAGGACCTGTATTGCTCAACACCTGTCGACCCAAGGTAATTTTGTGTCACGGTCATGAATCTGTTTATCCCCAGCTTCTGTTCTTAGGAAGCCACTGAAGTGCACACCTTTGAGAAGTAAAGTCACCTTGGCTCATCTTCATTTCCACCAAAGATCCCCAGGAGATTACTCTTATTTGATCATCAGATTCAATGTTTCCCAGCCCCAAATTTCTTTCCCTTTTTTTTTTTTTTTTTTTTTTGATAATAAACCTAACCAGGGTGACTGGAAATTTAGTGTTTTAGAGTGGAACATTCTGAAGTTGTTGAAATGATGCACAGAAGTCAACCTCTATGCTCTAGCAGAATATGTAAGGGAAGCTCTTAGTTAAAGAATGATTAACACATAGATAATCACAATTGGTACGTTTTCATCATAACTAATATCAAGAAGATAGCCTCTCCATTTTACAGTTACTGATTCTATTGCAGTAGAAACAACCCAGATTGCAATTACAGGTTTCACAAAATTGTACTGCAGATATATTATAAAAGAAGGCTCATCACAAAATTTTGCTTGTATTAAATGTTAGCTCCCTATACATTAATCAAGTAACAAAGATATCTTCCAATACATCAACAGATGCTTAGCTAAGAATAAAAATGTCAAGCAATATGGCACTTCCTTTTCATGACAGTCTATTTCCTATGTCATCATGTGCCTAGTTAACATAACTTTCCAATGTATAAGACAGAAATATTTCAGAACGAAACATCAAATAACATTTGCAGACAGTAAATGTATATTTAAACTCTTACCTTGTTTTAGTGAGATGAGTGTAGATCACTCCACAACAGCTCCATTAGTCTGGGACTGTATCTTAGAAATTTCATGTATTCTAATCCTTCCAAGAAGGTATCTCAGGGCAAAGTATAGATAGCAATCTCTTCAAGAGGCTCAAGAGTACCATTCACAAGATGCTAAAAGAGAGAAAGAGGTAATGAATGTATGCAAATGTGATACAAAGCTTCACCTTGACTGTTACAGTATTACTTACATGTTAAACAATGGGAACTGAAGGCTTAGCCTTCTGCTTTAACTAATAGTTCAGAGGCAAATGAGTCTAAGCATCAAGTGTACAGGATTTATATGGCAATTAAAAGGATATGTTATTTCTCACTTTTTTATTTATATAAGGTGAACAAATTTCATGTACTTCATATGTACAGATTTAAGAGCATAATGATATTCCATGCCCATTCATCCTCCCACCCATGCTCCCTGTCTCCTTTCTTATTTTTCAAATTTTATAATGATACACTTGCAGTATATTTTATAATCACAAGCATAAACTTAACCAAACAATTAAATAAGTATTAAGTAAAAAAAAAATCAAAAACAAACCACTGTTCCTTAAGAGTATAGTCAATGGCTCAAACTCTCAATTACACTCATATGTATTGCAAAATTTGTGCTCTGTATATTAATTATGACAAACCAGGAAAAACATGGTACCTGTCTTTTGGATACCAGCTTATTTCACTAAGTTTCCAGTTGCATCCATTTTATTGCAAAAGACAGTATTTCATTCTTTTTTACAGCTGAGTAGTATTCCATAGCATATATGAAAGACATTTTCATTGTCCAGTCATCCATTGATGTCTAGGTTGATTCCACTCCTTAGCCATTGTGAAATGAGCTACAGTAAACATAGGGGTACAGATAACTCTTTCATATGCTGATTCCATTTTCCCTGGGTAAATTCCCAGGAGTGGGATGGCTGGGTTATACGGTAGGTCTATATTCAGATTTCTGAGGTAATTCCAAAATGATTTCCAGAGTGGCTGTATCAGTTTACATTCCCACCAACAGTGGATTTGGGTACTGTTTTCCCCACATTCTTACCAGCATTTACTTTTTTTTTTTTTTTTAAATTTTTGGATGATAGCCATTCTAATTGGGGTGAGCTAAAACCTCACTATGGTTTTAATTTGCATTTCCCTAATGGGTAGTGATGCTGAACATTTTTCATGGATCTGTTGGCTATCTGAATTTCATCCTTTGAAAAATGCCTGTTCATGTCCTTCGTCCATTTCTTGACTGGATAGTTGTTGCTGACTATATTGACCCTTTTATAGATACTGAATATTATCAGTTGCATAATTGCAAATAGTTTCTTTCATTTTTAAAGTTGCCTCTTCATTTTGTTGAGTGTTTTCTTTGTAGTACAAAAGCTTCTTAGCTTGATATAATACCATTGCTTGTGCTTCTGGGATCTTTTCCAAGAAAGATTTTCTTATGTCAATGTCTTCTAGAGTTTCCCCAGCGGTTTCCTCTAGTAATTTGATGGTATAAGGTCATAGATTTAGATCCTTGATACATTTTGAGATAATTTTTGCATTAGGTGAAAGATAGGTGTCTTGTTTCATATTCTGCCTGCAAAGATTCAATTTTAGCAGCACCACTGTTGAAGAGACTGCCTTTATCTAGGTATTAATTTTAGCTCATCTGTAAAAAATTAGTTGCTTTTACATGCATGGGTCGATTTTCGGAGTTTCTATTCTGTTCCATTGTTCTACCTGTCTATTTTTGTGACAGCACCATGCTGTTTTGATTATAAATGCCTTGTAGTATGTCTTGCAATCTGGTATTATGATGCCTCTACCTTTATTTTTGTTGTATAAGAATTCTTTAGATAATAAGGGTTTCTTGTTTTTCCATATGAATTTTAGCATCATTTTTTCTTGATCTGAGAAGAATGTCCTTGATACTTCAATTAGCATCACATTGAATCTGTAATTTCTTTTGATAGTATGGACATTTTCAGGATATTGATTCTTCCAAAACACTAACATGGAAAATTCTTCCATTTTTGTGTGTTGCCTTCTATTTATTTTTTAAATAATTTATAAATTTAATTGTAGAGATCTTTCATTCTTAGTTAAATTTATTCCAAGGCTTTTACATTTTTTGTAAATATTGTTGATGGTACTGAAGGTCTTTCATAGTCATGACATTGTCTGCATATACAAAGGCAACTGATTTTTTGTGTGATTTTATATCTGGCAATTTATCCAAACTCACTTATGAGTTACAATAATCTGTTAGTGAAGAAAATATATTCAGAACCTATCTATAGGATCATGCCATCTGCAAAAAGGAATAATTTCACTTCCTCCATCCAATGTGTGTCCCTTTTATTTATTTTCTTACAAAATGTCTCTGGCTAAAACTTCTAGAACTATATTGAATAGCAAAGTTGCAAGAGGGCATATTCGTTTCACTTTCAATCTAAGTGGAAATGTTTCCAACTCTTTCCCATTCAGTATGATGTTGGTTGTCATATATTGCCTCACTATATATATATATATATATATATATATGGATGTCCCTCATATAACCTACATGCTTAGAGTTGTGAAGTATCACATTTATTGACGTGCATATGTTGAAACATCCATGCATAAAAGGGATAAATCCCAAGTGCTCTGAGTGAATGATATTTCTGCTGTGTTGTTGGATTTGATTAGTTAGTATTTTGTTGAGGATTTTTGTATCTATGTTCATCAGGGATATTGTTCCATAACTCTCTTTGTTGTGTCTATTTCTGGTTTTGGAATTAAGATGATGCTGGTCCCATTCATTGATATTGGAAGGATTCCCTCTGTTTCAATTGTTTTGAATAGTTTTAGAAGAACTAGAATTAGTTCATCTTTAAAAATCTGGTAGAATACAGCAGTGAAGCCACAGGTCCTTGACTTTTCTTTTTTGGGAGGATCTATATTACTAATTCAATCTCTATCTTGGATTACTGGTCTATTTAGGTTGTCTGTGCATTCATGACTCAATTTTGATAGGTTGTATGTGTCCCGAAATCTATGAATTTGGTCTAGATTTTCCAATCTGTTGGCATATAGCTGTTTGTATTAACTCTTGAAGATTCTTTTAATTTCTGTTGTATCTATTGTAATATCTTTTTCATCTCTGATTTTATTAATTTGGGTCTTCTTTTCTCCATCCTTTTTGGTTAGCTGGGCCAACAGTGTATCAATTTTATTTTTTCAAAAACATCTCTTCGGGGCCCATGCTGTGGAGCAGATTAAAACCCCAACCTGCAGTGCCAGCATCACATATACATGCTGGTTTGAGTACCAGCTGCTCCACTTCAGATCCAGCTCTCTGCTATGGCCTGGGAAAGCAGTGGAGAATGGCCCAAGTCCTTGGGCCCCCACACCCACGTGGGAGACCTGGAGGAGGCTCCTGGCTCCTGGCTTTGGATCAGCTCAGCTCTGGCCATTGTGGTCATCTGGGGAGTAAACTCGTGGATGGAAGCCCCCCACCTCTAGCTCTACCTCTCTCTATAACTCTTTCAAATAAATAAAATAAATCTTTGAAAAAAAAAACAGCTCTTCATTTTACTGATCTTTAGTATTGTATTTTGGTTTCATTTTTATTTATTTCTTCTCTAATTTTAATTATACTTTCCTCTTAATAATTTGGGGTTTGGTTTCTTGTTTTTCTAGGTCCTTAAGTTATACTGATAGCTCATTTATTTGATGTCTTTCCAATTTCTTCTTATAGGCACTAACTGCTATAAATTTCTCTCTTAACACCACTTTTGCAACAATCCATGAGTTTTGATATGCTGGGTTGTCATCTTCATTCATTTCAAGGAATTGTTTGATTTCTCTTTTGATTTCTTCTTTGACTGTTCATTCAGGATTGTGTTGTTCAGTCTCCATGTGTTTGTATCTTTTCTAGATATTGTTGTTAATTTCCAGCTTCATTCCATGATAGAAAAGATACAAAGTATCAATTCACATTTTTTAATTTGTTGAGACTTGCTTTATGGCCTACTCTATCCTAGAGAAAGATCCATGCAATGATTAAAAGATTGTCTATTCTGCAGCTGTGGGATGAAATGCTCTATAGATATAAATTAAGTCTATTTGATCCATAGTATAGATTAGCTCTATTGTTTCTTTGTTGGTTTTCTGCCTAGTTGAACTATCCAGTGATGAAAGTGGGGTGTTGAAGGCCCTCATCAGGTCCATTAGTACTTGCTTTAAATAGCCAGGCACCCTGTCATTGAGTGCATATGCATTTATTGTAGTCACATCTTTGTGTTGAATTTATCCCTTCGTCATTACATAGTGCTCTTCTTTGTCTCTGTTAACAGTTTTTGTATTAAAGTCTAATTTATCTGATATTAGGATGACTACTCTTGCACTTGTTTGATTTTTACTAGCATGAAATATCTTTTTCCTTCCTTTCACTTCAGTCTGTCTGTATATTTGCTAGTGAGGTGTGTTTCTTGCAGGCAGCAAAATGATTGGTTTTGTTTTTCAATCCATTCAGCCAGTCTGTACCTTTTAATTGGGGAATTTGGGCCACTTACATTGAAGGTATTATTGGTAAGGAATGAGTTTGTCCTGCCATTTTCCCACAAACATTCCAATTCTTTGCTTTGGATTTCCTTAGTCCTTGTACTAAAATATTTTCTGCCTTCACATCCTTTCATAGAGATGACTATCTATGTTTTGGTTTGTAGCACAATCTTAAGTATCATTTGTTGGCCTGGAAAACTGCTGACAAATTCTTTCAATTTTTGCTTGTTTTTCAAAGTCTTTAGTTCATGGATTTATCCCTCTGATAAAATCCCCTACTTTCACATGCACTAGCTATAGCTGCCTGCACTCAATTATCAAGATAGTGCTTCTCTGCTAATCACTGGGAGCCCTTGTGGTGGGGCTAAGGAGCAGGCAATGTGCTCTCCCTTAACAGGGTTAGGTGGGCACCCTGCCCGCCATTAACACTCAAGGGCAGACTCAAAGTCAGTGTACACTGCAAGGTTCTCCCTCAGGCAATATCAACAGCGACACGGGTTGCTGCAGACTCCTCTCACTTCTCTCAAAGGAGATATTGCCTCCTCCTGATGCTGATTCTGATGTTGGTAGGAGAGGAACAGATTTGCTGCCTG